TGGGCTGACCACGGCACACAGAGGAGGTGGGTGTGTTAGTGTGCGCTGCGTCCCCACTGTGGGCTGACCACGGCACAGACAGGAGGTGGGTGTGTTAGTGTGCGCTGCGTCCCCACTGTGGGCTGACCACGGCACAGACAGGAGGTGGGTGTATTAGTGTGCACTGCGTCCCCACTGTGGGCTGACCACGGCACAGACAGGCAGTGGGTGGGCTGAAGCCGTGGCACGCTCCTCCTCTCAGGAGTGGGTGCTGCGCTAACAGACACCTAAAATGTGGAAGTGGTTTTGGGATTGGGTAATGGGTAGAGGCTGGAAGAGTGAGTTGGAATCGATTCAGTGGTAACGGGTTTGGGTTTTTGAGTAGTAAAAGCCTAGATTGCCTTGAAGAGACTCTTGTTAGAATTATGGATGTCAAAGGCGAACCTGGTGAGGGCTGAGAAGGACGTGAGGAAGGCTGTAGAGAAAGTCTGTCGTCTTAGAGAATACACATAGCAGCAGCAACAGAATGTTGCTAGAAACCTGGCTGTTAAACATGCTTCTGGTGAGGCTTTAAAGGAAACGATGAACGTGCGATTGGACAGTGAAGGAAGGGCGATACTTTTCATGCAGTGGCAAATAACTTGTCTGAAATATGTTCAGGTGTTTAGTGGAAGGTAGAACTTGTAAGTGATGAATTTGGATATTTAGCTGAGGAGATTCTAAGCAAGATCTTAAAAGGGCCGCATTTTTTCTCCTTGCCGCTTACAGTAAATGTGAGAGGGAAGAGATGGATTTAAAAATGAACTGTGCAAGATGAAAACAGAACTTAAAGACTTGGAAAATTCTGTTGTACAAACTGAGGACACGTGTCCTAGAATGTTCACCAAGGAGGTGGCTACACAATCTTTTGTTAAAGAGATGAAGCCTGTGACTGACGGATCTAACCAGCAACCACAGCAGAAAACCCATCAGCGTAGACTGCAGGGGAGAGAGAAAGAATGAAAGGAAAGAACTTTGCCTCTTGGAATTGGGCAGGCAGGAAACAGGCCAAAGGAGCTGTATCTGTTGTCCTCCAGGAAAGAAAAGGGCCATCCCTGGCACAGCTCGGAAATCAGCAGAATTGTCACAAGGAGCATGGAAAGCAGAGCTGCCTTGGTCACGAAGGCGGGGCCCCATTCTCCTAGGTTTCAAAGGGTCGGATTTTCACCAACTCAGTTCCAGGGTGTTGGGCTGCCATTGAGGTGTGCCTGGGGGACGAGGCCACTGCCCAAAGCTGAGGGGGCGAGGTTGGCATGCGCAAGGGGCAGAAGAATGCTAGGGCTGAGGGGGTGGGGTTGACGCTCAGATGGACTAGGAGAATGGGGCTGCCCAAGGCCGACGGAGCAGAGTTACCATCCCAGAGGGCCTGGAAGGCGGAGCTGAAGCCCAGGGCAGAGAGCTTCCACCCAGAATCCAGAGGGCATGGCCAACACCCAGAGTCTGGAGGGCAGGGTCATTGCCTAGACGGTCTCAGAGAAGAGAGGATTATCTTCAGGCCTTGGGAGCTGATGTAAATTGTTCTGCTGAGGTTTGGACTTGCTTGGTGCCTCTTTTCTCCTTCCAGTTCCTCCCATCTGGAGTGGAAATGCCTACCTTGTGCCTGTTCCACCGTTATCCTTTAGAAACAGATAAGGAGTGGCAGGTGGATTCAAACTGCTGACCTTTGAGTGGAGGGGACCCAAAGACCGTGCCTGCTGTCCTTGGGTGAACACTGCAGGATGTACAGGCATTGCAGCCCTGAGTGACTGCACTGTCTCAGGCCGCACGGCCCTCCC